GGACGGCTACTGGAACCATCCTGTCCTGTTTTTGTAAATGTTCTGATATTGTCTCCTGTTTTCAGGGCATTCAATGGTTATGTTTCTCGTTTATTGATTGTAGATTTGTTTGTTTCGTCCCGGTTGTTGTGTCTCCAGCTGGACGCTCCGTGAGGCTGCTTTCTCTTACCCCGGTTTGCTGGTCTCCAATAGGAGTCCAAGATGGTGGATCCGCGCTGCGTTAGCTAGTAGGGGACCTCTGCATGAATCTCTCCTCGCTCTCCATTCTCTGTCAGTTTTCTCACTCCATTTGGTTCTTGGCTGAGTTCTTTATCTCTTCATTTGATGTTTTAGGGTTTCAGGATTGTAGTATTCTCTGTTTGGCTTAGTTTTTCGAATCTTTGCTGTGGAGGGACGGCATGGGGCTTCTGCCTAGAGCGCCATTTTGCCGGAACTCCGCATATCTTTACTTTTTTTAAATTGTATTGTAGGTGAAGGTTTGCAGAACAAATTAGGTTCTCATCGAACAACTAGTACATATACTGTTTTGTGACATTGGTTTCCAACCCCACGACATGTCAACACACTCCCTTCTAGACCTTGGGTTCCCCATTGCCAGCTTTCTTGTCCCCTCTTGCCTTCTAGTCCTTGCCCCTCAGCTGGTGTGCCCATTTAGTCTCATTTTGTTTTATGGAGCTGTCTAATCTTTGGCTGAAGGGTGAACCTCAGGAGTAACTTCATTACTGAGCTGAAAGAGTACCTGGGGGCCATAATCTTGGGGTTTCTCCAGTCTCTCTACTTGTTTATTCTTAACCATTCCATACCAAAGTTGAGTATGGTTGTGCCTGTGGTACCACAGGTTTGATTATTGGCACCTTGAAGCCTGGCTGGTGTAGCCAAGATTCATAGTTTCCAAAGAGTTACCAACAGGACATGATGTTATCTACTCTGAGGGGATTAGAACTTTTCCCTTTACCTGTCTGCCAGCCTTGTGTCAGAATTCTACTTGGTAATTATCTTTTTCATTCTGCCATAGTCCCTCTTGGGGCTTAATTTTCCTCTACATGGATAAGAAGTTAGATATTTAACCAACAAATCTAGTTATATTTTTTAATGAGAGTTTTTGACAAATGTCAAGTCATTGCTATTAAATAGTGTTATTTTTAAATTGCCTTGTAGGGATAAGTCTTGACTGGAGTGAAAAGAGATCAGAATTTGTTCGTGGATATAACCATCCCTGTGGTTGGTTTTGTGTTCCACTTAAAGACAATCCAGACCAGAGTCTTTTGACAGGCTATATTCAGACGGATCTGCGAGGGATGATTCCTCAGTCTGCAGTAGATACAGCCATGGCAAGCACTTTAACCAACTTCTATGGTGACTTACGAAAAGCCTTACAAAAGGCATAATACATGAAAACCTGCAGTACCATGGTCCACTGAATTATTTCTTCCTTCCAGCTGCATGGCCTGTGAAAGTCATCCACTCTTCCCATCTGCATACCCTGTAGAATAACTTGAGATTTTTTTTGGCTTACTAGTACAATATTGTATTTTATTCCTACAGTAAATATTTAAGAGAGAGCATTTCAGTTTTCTTAAACAGCTATTTGCACATTGTTTGGTTATGGCAGTGTGTTTAGGAATGGAGAGCGTCTACAGAAATCCACAAAGAAGTGGACACAAATGCTTAAGAAATGGAGTATTGTCTTAGTATGAATATTTTGGTTGCTTCGAAATTAGAGAAAGCACAAGCTTCATGCTATTAGGTTAAAATCATCTATTTTAGAGCTTTATGAATATTTTATAAATTTTTAATTTTTCTGAGATTAAATATAATGTTTTACTTTTGGTATGCTCTGTGAGTTGGGCAATAGCTTAGACAAAAGAAAAAAAGCCCTTCTCTATTTTTTATAAAGATGAACTTCATTGTCAATTCACTGAGCTACTTTCAGCATTGAAAAGAGCAGAAATAAGAATAGATATTGTAACAAGTACAATTAAAGCACAAATCAGTTTTGATATCTAGATAGCATTCTTTTGTGGACATCTTTTTAAGAGCATATTTGTGTCTTTATGTGTGTTTATTTTGTGAATCTTAAAAGCACTGATGTATAAATATGGCAGTACAAAAAACTGCCAAATATATGTGCTTGGGGACATCACACTGAGTTCATTGGTAGTGAAAATCTGGGTTGTGTGAAATGGCTGGTAGTATCATGTAATCACCAATAGAGAATAATCTCTCTAGAAAGTCAAATTCAATGTTTTATACATGTTTTAGTTTTAAAAATATCACTCTACTCATGAAGCATTACAAAGTGGATCATAAATATTCACAGTTGTGATGTAACTTTGGTCTGGAACAATAACAAATATATTTTTAAACTTATCCGAATGCCTAGATAAGTCATTTTCTAATGTCTTAAATAGACTGTATAGGTCCCTTGAATCTGTAGCTGCCTTAAATGAAGATTCCTAGATGAATTTACCTAATTCTTTGTCTTTCGAGCTGTCTACCTAGTTTACTTCTAAAATGAGAACTTGAGGCAACTCAGTGTGTATATGCAAACCTTCATATGTATTTATATGTTTGTGTACATGCACAAATCTTAAAATCCATTTCAGTGTTCAGTGTCAATTCTGTATGTATTGCTGTGTTACTGTCACTGTTTCTTTTCTTTTTGGTTAATATAGGGTAAAGTGAGCCCTGGAAATACTTATGCACTAGACAGGCCACAAAAAGCACAAACATATATATAGTGGTTCAAGCACATGAAGGCTTGATTTTTGTATTAGTTTATTGTATTTCCCTAAGTGTAAAGAAATAATATGTCATAGCTTTTCAGTCTCATTTTGACAAAGCAGACAAATTGAAGCTGCTTTTTGTTTTTGTTTTTGTTTTTTTTTTGCAGCTGGAGATGATAACATTTAAAAAACAAGATGGCAGCACCACAAAGTTCATAGTGAATAATCTGACAATTTTTAGGTTGAAAAATAATTTGTTTCAGGATCTGACAGAAGTGATGCACAAATGATCCTGTGTGCTTCACTTGAACCTTATTAATCCCTAATACCTTTCTAAGCTGACTGTAGTGTTTGAGTTGCTGATAGTTTTTTTTTTGTTCAATATTAGAGAGAGAAAACTCAGCAGTTTCGTTCTGATTCCCATAGAAATTATTAAATATTTGACTTCATCTATTTTCTTTCATTTGCTTTTATTAGTATAGAGTAGGAGATCTTATATTCTAGTATTCCGCCTAGGATGCTAAAATACCAGCAGGTGTTCAACTGATATGGTGCTCAGCTTGGGTAAGGGATTTGTGACAAGATGGTGCATCACTCTAAGGGCTATTACTGCCTAGCTTGGTGCCCCTAAAGGCACATGCACTGCCTACTCTCAGCCACTCTAGTGTGCCTCTGTCCTCATCAGCTCGTACCTGCAATACATGATTACATAATCCACTGCTGAATGTGGACTCATTGCAGGTAAAATGACCCTTATGGGAAAGATTTCATTGCAATATAGAACCATATCCATATGATAGAGTGAAAAATTATAGTTGAATTACCCGAAACTTATATGCATCTTCTAGATGGCACTTTAGATCTGCTGGATCTAGCTGTGCACTTTTTTAAAAAACAGTTTTATTGAGGTATAATTTACATACCATAAAATTTACCCATGTTAAGTGTACAATTCAATGGTTGACATTTTAGAACTGTGCAGCCCTCACCACAATCCAGTTTTGGAACATTTCCATCACCCCAAAAGATCCCTTGCCTGTTTGCAGGCTCATATCTAACCAAAGTTTAGCACAGTTGCCAGTATATAGATGATAAAAAGAGATATTAGACTATTATTATCTCAGATATCACGTGAGTATGTGGTTGGCTTTATTTTTAAGAATAGAAGTATTCTTTTTTCTAAGCCCAGGAACCTTGTGATAATATAAATAGATTATCTAAAGTCTGTTGCTTCTACAGTAGTACCATAGGATAGAAAAATAATGTGAACCATACGTGTAATATAAAATTTTCTAGCAGCCACATTAAAAAAATAAAAAGAAACAGGTGAAGTTAATTTTAATATTTTATGTAAGTCACTATATCCAAAATATTATCATTTCAGCATGTAATCAATATCAAATTATTGAGATAGTTTATATTCTTTTCTGTACTAATTCTTTGAAATCTGGTGTATATTTTACTGATTTGGGGTAGCCACATTTTAAGTACTCAGTTAGCCACATGAGGCCAGCAGCTACTGTATTGAATGGCACAGTTCTGTGGTATATCTATTAATTTGCCTTGTTATAATATGAAGGAGAAAATTTCATGGAAATTGCTGGCTTAAATAGAAATCTTTCCCGGTCCCTGGAGTCTTTAAGAAAATTCTTTCTAAATGGAACTTGTGAATGTTAGAAATAAGTCAGTTAGTAGTTGTCAAAAAAATCAAAATTGTAGCCCCAAAATATTTTCCTTTAGAGATAATTAACTTTTGCTGGGGCATTTGATAAAATTTAAAAGAATATAATCTGCCTTGTTGTTATGTGGTTGATCATTTTCTGTAGCTTATAGCTAACTTGAATTAGAAAAGTGTATGTAGGAAATACTTGGTATAGTACTGTTTCCAGCACATGGGTTTTTGGTTATTGTTTTTTAAGGAAAACAGATTTTATCCAAGAAAACAATAATTTATCATAAGTGACATTTTTGCATGAAATATTAGTTCTTGTTGATTAACCTTTGATTAAATTCTGATTAACCCTTGAAGTTTAGCACCATGCTCAACAAAAATAATATGAGATTTTAGTGTTCTGTAGTTATTTATAGTATACACTGCTAGAAGATTATAATTGTTAAAAGTCTCTTCACTGTTCATTGAGACTGGACATCTTTGAAATTGCAGATATCTTATGTGTAAAGTTGTCTCCCAGTTAATAAACTTTTCTTTCTTTTTCTCCCTTCCCCCTCTCTGTTTTCTAACTGAAGGACATTTCATCAGTATTCAGGGTGAATTAATACCGCAAGCTAGAAACTCTGTAATTGAGGTTGCCTCTGGAGTAGATAGGAAAACATTGCACAATTTAAGCCGTAATTGTCTATTCACTTTTTAGATATGAGTAATTTCCTTTGATAAAAGTTTTACCTGTTTAAGCAAGAGCACACTAGCATCCTTAGAATCAGTTGTTAAAATCCAGTTTCTTTTAATGAAAGGGATGCTGTAGCGATCCCAAACCTATAGGTAAATTAACTGAATCCAGAGAAGTGAGTGACTTGACCAAGTTTCCATTAGAATGTGTATCGTGTGATTACTTGTCTAGTGTGTCTTTCATGCCTCTCTTATTCAACTTCTAGAAGCGTGGGATGGTGGGACCTGAGCATAGAAGAAGCGTTAATCCTAGAGCACAGGAAGTTGGAGTTAGTTTTTTATTCATTTTGTTGTTTCCAAAGATTTTACATGTATAGTTAAAAATTTCTCTTGCAGTTCAATAAAAGCAGTAATATAAATAGATTTTATTTTTTCAGAAGTTTATGATTGTTTTATGAGTCAGTATGTAAAACTAGAATATTAAACTGTATTTATTTTGAATTGCTATGAAATATATCACAATAAAATTTTCTAGACACTCTTATTGATCATTGATGTGTGTGTAAATTGCTTTAACCTTAAGTGCTGATTAATACTTAATTTCATGTATCTGAATTTAAAGTATGTAATTTTACTTCCTGAACACCTACAAAAGAAAAATATAAAATGGAAAATAAGGATTAACAAAGCACATGCTAATCTTCTGCAAATATATAATATGAGCTGTACTACTATTATGTAGCCAAGACAATGATGAATATATTGTGTTATTATAGTAACATATGGGCAGAATTTATTGTACATATATTTAAATAGTTGTGTTAACTTGGTTAGGAATTGTGGTCTTAGTTTAAAGTTGTAAAATGCTGGAACAATAACTGGGAAACCTTTCATCTACGTTATAAGAAAGCATTTAGGGAGCCTTGGTGGTGCAGTGATTAAGTACTCGGCTGCTAACTTTAACATCTACCATTTGAACTCACCAGCCACTCTGTAGGAGAAAGATGTGGCATCCTGCTTCCATAAAGATGACAGCCTTGGGAACCCTACAGGGCGGTTCTATTCTGTCCTGTATGATAACTATGAGTTGATGGCAATGGGTATAAGAAAACGGTGGGCTATAATAGAAAATACAACTAATAAGTGACTTAAACAAATGAGTTATTTTCCTGATTTAACAACCAGTGTAGATATAGGTAATTGTTAGTGATTGTCAGCTCAAGATGTCAGGGCCAACATTTCCACAGGTCTCTTGATCTTTCCCTCATAGAGAAAAGTGACTAACTCAGGGAGTCAAATATTCACTCAGGTCAAGAAGTAGGGGAAGATATGGCACCGTGCATCTGTGTCTTTAATCAGGAAAGATAAAACTCCCAGAAGACCCTACTAGCCGTCATGGTATTTTGAATCATGTGACTACTTCTAGGTGTAAAGGTGGCTGTGAAAGCAAGCATAAGGATTTCTAGCCTCTTGGAGAACGGGGTTAGGAATGACTGGATAACCAACCAGAAGCATCTCCCACTGGATCAGCTTTGGGAGGTGTGTTGTGACATTTTTAATCCCTTGTGATTTTGCTTTTAATTTTTTGGGTTTAATCCTTTTTTGTTTGTTTTTCTTTTGGTGCACACGAAAAAAACCTAGGAAATGGAAATGTTTGGTCAAATTTAGGTCTATCTCCTTTTACCTGAATAAAATTCAGAAATTTATTGGCCAAAAAATTAAGGCTCAGAGGAAGAGAAATGCATGGTTTTCCCAGATGCCAGTGAGGCCTCTGATAGAGGCTCCTTCAGTTGTCATGTAGGAAAGTGATGGGCTTCCAAAAAAGAAATGAAAATAGCAAAGCAGTGATTCAGTCTCATCAAGAACACTTACTGGGCACCTTCTACATGGCAGACACTACATAGTTTACCTTAGTTGAGGTAATGAGATGATGGAGCCTTCCCTTGGGTGTTGTTAATTAATGGTTGGTGTCACGTGGCATCCAACATGAAAATGTATTGCCGCTGTCTTTCTATTCCTATAGAGCATAGGGTCCACTATGGATGAGGGCTTCTGTAGCCAGGCCATGACAGAAAATTGCTGAAAAATGTGAATTGCAAATGTATTCCAGGAGATAAGTAGAAAGCGGGTCCATACTATTTGTTTCACCAGCTGGATAGGTGATCAGTGGAGTGCAGTATTCTGATAAAAATAATGGGGAAAGCACTGTGTGAGTACCAAGATAGGCATTTACTCATTCTTTCTCTATGGATGATATTCCTTTTCATGAGCTTTACCTTCGGTCATGGATTGAATTATGTCCGCCCAAAAATGTGTGTATCAATTTGGCTGGGCCATGATTCCCAGTGTTGTGTGGTTGTCCTCCATTTTGTGATTGTAATTTTATGTTAAAGAGGATTAGAGTGGGATTGTAACACCCTTACTAAGGTCACATCCCTGATCCAATGTAAAGGGAGCTTCCCTGGGGTGTGGCCTGCACCACCTTTTGTCTTAAAAGAGATGAAAGGGAAGCAAACAGAGAGTTGGAGACCTCATATCACCAAGGCAACAGCTCCAAGAGCAGAGTGTGTCCTTTGGATCTGAGTTTCCTGCGCTGAGATGCTCCCATACCAAGGGAAGACTGATGACAAGAACCTTCCTCCAGAGCCGACAGAGAGAGAAAGCCTTCCCCTGGAGCTGATGCCCTGAATTTGTACTTGCAGCCTATTGGACTGTGAGAGAATAAATTTCTCTCTGTTTAAAGCCATCCACTTGTGGTATTTCTGTTATAGTAGCACTAGATGACTAAGACACCTTCCTACTTAATGTTTTGCTTT